ACTAGGAAGGCAGGAATGTAAAAATTAAGAAAGGGAGGAAAAAAAGTCTTCAAAAGGAAATCTTTGGAGATGGTTTGCTGCAGATGAGACTTTCTACCCACATTCCTGGTACACACAAATACTGGTGACGGACAAGTACTCAAGAATGGCGGAGATGTAAACAATGGCTCTTAGATAAACCAGAAGCACTGTTTTAAAACAAGGGTCTATCTCCACAGACGTCCAATGACCCGAGTCTCAAACAAGAATACCGCAAGAGTTAGTCAACTGTGTACATTTCCTTTTGACAGGCTTCACTTTTCCTTGATTCCACAGCAATCGTCCATGAGTCCCATGATGACACACTTACACGCAGGGGAGTATAACCGCAGAGCTAAAACCTCAGCGTTACTAATTTCAACTACGGGGGAAAAGAATGAGCAGAATGTCACTGTAAACCATCTGTTTACTAAACAGCTTTGAAGACTGCAACTTTTCAAGAACTCCGAGAAGAAACACACATACCCCACACACTTAAGTTTAAATGGAGACCTGAAGTCTTGCTTTTCCTGTTTTCACTGAAGCAAGGTCCCCCCCCCCAAAAAAAACCCAGATTATTCCCCCACAAAATAACACTTTTATTAATAAGCATTCCCGTGTACCAAGACCTCTGAACACCTGCATTTACGGTTCATAGTAAAAAATAAATGTGTTATGTTCTTCATAGTCCACAGTCACATTTCTGCTCTCCTTTTATACTACGTATCTCTGAGAACTTTAAAAAGAGAAAATGAGAAACATCTCCTTAAATAATCACTGGGCTGCCTATCTCCTGTGCCTTTAAAACAGGGACTATAATAACTTAAAGTGCTTAAAACATTTATGGGTTAAAACTTTATCTGCTGACGGGCAACCAACTTAGCTTCCAGAGCTGATGCCTGAAACTGAATCATTTCTGTTGCTATTCCAGCAAGCCTACAGTTTGGGGAGACAAAGGCAGCATTTACCTGCATCTCACTTCCAGCACAGAAAAGGCTCACATGTATACCAGCTTTCTGCCGATCATCTTAGTCCTTCAATGACAGAAACACCTGAGAAACCAACTGATTACCAGCTGTCTTTCCTACAACTGGAGTTTAGGAAAGATGTCTTTCCTCAACACTTGCTGAAATAAATGGAGCTCGAGTGTTCATGCATGTAAGTGACTTGCAGATGCCTTTTTATATACATCAACCTGTACGTCTCTAAGGGAAATTTTAACCTGCACACATTGAGTGATTCTGAATAGTGTTTTATCTCATCTACCCAATCAGCAAATTCCTGTAACTAAACTGTCACAAACATAAGACGCTTTATAAAACTGGGCAGGTTAAATGAGGGGAAGTGCTAACTGAAATAAAGACGAGAGATGGCCTCCTGCAGCTCAGGCTGGATTCGAACTTGCCAAACAGCTGGAAATGACCTTGAACTCTTGCCTCCACTTCCTCTAGAATTCTGGTATTACGAGAATGCACCACCATGCCTTGCTTAGACAAACACATTAGTAAAGAGAGAAAAAAAAAGGAAAGACAGACAGACATAAAGACAGCTAGGTGAAGTCGTGTACACTTGTAATTCCAGCACTCAAGAGGCAGAGAGTCAGATCTCTGAGTTAGAGGCCAGCCTTGCCTACAGAGTAAGTTATAAAATAGCCAGGGCTACATAGAGAAACCCTGTCTCAGAGGGGAAAATTAAACCTACCCTGTTTCTTTGTTCTGGAAGGTGTCCGGCACACAGTAGGCGCTCAATTTATACTTGGTGCACAAACAGACTGCTGATTAAACAAATTTTATTTCCTCTCTGTGTCTTGGTTCTGGATGGCAAACAGAACTCATCTATGGAATGCAAAACCTCCCATCTTACAGTCTGACCCTGGCAAAGGCTCCAGAACTTGGGCACCGTAAAATAAGAACAAATCCGTGCGCAGAACACCACTGGCTCCTCAAGCCTGGGTCTGGGACATATCAAGGGCAGGTGAGCTCCGAGAGCTTTGACACCAACAGTAACTAGTCTGCCTTTTTGGCAAATCCATCAAAATTAAACCTTAAAACCTGAAGGAAAAAAAAAAAAACAAACTAATGTTTATTGTGCTCCTTCAAGCTTAGAGGCTTAACTATGTGTGGGTAGGGACTATAATTATGATCAATTACTTATGGCTTGAAGGCACTTAAAAAAGCATCTGCCCTCTTAAGCAATCTTTAAAAACCCAGGCTTATGAGTGTAAGACTTAACCCAGGAAAGAACAAATTACAAATTCGGGGTTTCAGTTTTCACATTCTCCCTCGGAAGGAAAAAAAAAATTGTTGTCGCTTATCTTTAATTTCCTGACACTGCCCCTAAAATTATTAAGCTAACCTCTGAAGAATTCCTAGTTGTTTAGCCAAACAAACAAGTTATTTTGGTGTGTGTGTGGGGGGGGGGAGTGTTAGTACAGTGGAAAACAAAAACAGGAAGAGCAAAAGGGAATGGAGCCGGTGGCTTGTGCCGATGATGTTACTAGTTAAGACAAGGGGTCATTTCATTAATCTTACAGCGTACAGCCAGCCAATTCCCTTTGCTGACAAATTCAGGGTCTGGGTAGCCCAGCAGCTTTTTAGGTCCCGGTTGTGTAACAGTTTCCTCCAAGATTAAAACATTCCATTCCACAGGAAGCTCCTTGAGCAGGAAGGTAAACAACTCAGAATAGCTTCAGGAAGGCCTTGAAGCTGAGCAGATTCACTAGGCCCCGCCTCACTTTTAAAAGCCGTTAACAGCTGAGCTTCCCTCTCACAACAGCAGCTTCGGGCTGCAGAGAAGCTGAGCTGCAAAAGCCGAGCAGGTTGGGCAGTGAGCTCCAAGTCCTCAGCTGTCACTCATGCTGGGTGGGCTTTGGGGATGCAGCCGCCTCTGAGTTATTTCTGCTCCTGGAACCCCTCCCTTGTATTTATGTAGCTAACCCCAATAAAACTCATTGGTTTACCAAGTTGGAACCTGTGGTATTCATGTTGTGGCCCACTGTAGCTCCCTATCAGGAATGTGTATGATGCCTCTCTCCCCAGGAGATGTTTTGTCACACAACAGTCCTGGGGTGTCAAAATCAGAATCCTGACGTGTTCTATAAAAACTCGAGATAAATGAAGCCTTCCTGGGCACCTGTTCTGGGACAAGGATCTGATCATCTGAGATATACAGGTACCTAAGGTACCTTTCAATTTAAAGGGCTTCCACCTACACTCACTTTATCCTTACGACTCCAAGTAGGAAAATAAATTTAGAAAGCACCTTTTCCTTTCACTTGTAAGTAGATGCTCCTGAAATTCCCAGTTGGGAAGACCATTGTGGGGGTTACCTAGAACTGCCCAGAGGCACACCAGTCTCAAGAGGATGGAACAGGGGAACAGGATGGGCTGGTTAGCAAAAGCTCATCAGCACAACGAAACGGCCCTCTTCTGTTCTACAGAACCTACAATAGATTGCGCTCAGTGAACAACAGGTTATATAAACGGGTGTTTGCCTGGAAGGAGGTTACTTCATTTGCATATATAATTGCTCTCCTAGCTGGATACTCCACACACACAATAATCTACTGCTTTCAGGTAAAACCGACTGTCTACAAGTCTCGTCCTCCCATGTCTCATGATCTTTTGCTGTCACACCCCATATCCCTGCCAACTAGCTAAAGCACAGGTATAATGGGTCCTTTCTTTACATTTACAATGCCTTTTTACTTATCTTATGTATTGCAATTCACTACTCCATTCTAGCCTGACTATCCTGGGAACAAACAAAACAAATCAATTCCCACCCAGCCTAGAAGAGGAGTTAAAAACCTCCTGGAAGATTCCGTAGAGGGCTTGGTATTTCAAAGGTCAGTCTTGGGTCTCTCCATTTTGATGACTAATGTTAAATTGCTTGACTTTCTACAAAAATATTTAGCTGGGCTTATTTACATAATTTCATCCCCGGGGCACACAGTAGGCACAAAGTTGTTGTACACAATCCCTACAGGAATGAGAAGACAAGACGAAGACACCAAAATCATCCTTCTACACACCGAAGAGCCGAGAATGGTGAAGTCATCACCTAAACTGTAGAGAGGTCTGTGCATTCCCTTTTAACTTCAAGCTATGTATCTGTTTAAAAAACAGAAGGATGAAAGGCACAGTGGGGAAATCCCAGCATCTCCGAGAAAACACCATTACCCTCAATCACACGGGAGGCAGGCACACACACTTTCGTTACTTCACAGGAGAGGGATAAGAATGCCTCTCCACCCTCTTGCACAACTCTTCCAGGGAAAAAAGAGGCCTTAGAATCTAAAGCACTGCTGCCTCTCATCTACCCCCTGGGAGAGGCGGTCTAAGTTAGACCTCGCCAGTCCATAGATACTAAATGATACAATCAGATGAAGGTTTGAGAAGGATCTCTCCCTCCCCTCCTCCCACTCTCCGCCCCCTTCCCTTCTCAGACAGAGTCTTTTGTAGCGCAGGCTGGCTTTGAACTCTGGATCCCGCTGGCTCAGTGTTCCCTGCACGCAACCTTGAAAGACACTTTTCAAATAATGTTTAACACTTGGCGTCAGCATTGAAACTTCAGGCCACCACCTCGGGGTGTGACAGGCCAACACGTTCTTACACATTTCTGCATTTTCTTAGACTTTACTTACATTAGGCTCCACCCTTAAAAAGTTTCCTTCTAATTACCACAAGCTGTGTAAGTCTCTCAAAAATTCCCCCACGGACGGGAAAAGTAAGTAAGGGCTAGAGACGTTTCTGAGGTTGTCGGTTTTGTCCCTGAAAGACACCCAACGCCCCCGGAACCCCTTGGGGCAAGCGGAGAGTTGTCTGGGTACAGGGAGGCCGCCGCGGGTCTCTTTCCTGCCCGGCCTAGCAAGGTCACCAGTTCGCTCGGCCAAACTCAAGCCTGACTCCGGTTGGGTCACCAGCTGCCCCTTGCCCGGCACCTTCCCGGACTGGACCCGACCACCAGGGCTCCCGGCTCACCTGACCACGTTGGGGTGCTCGAAGGTCTCCAGGTGCCTCAGCACCGCCACCTCGCGGATGGTGGAGAGCGGCATGCCCTCCTCGCCGGTCTGCACCCGCACGCGCTTCAGAGCCACGAAGCGGCCGCCGTTCTTCAGGTCGCGGGCCTTGAACACCTTCCCGTAGGCGCCCTCGCCGATCTCCGCCACGCACTCGTACTGCTGGTCGGCGCGGCTCAGGCCGTCCTTCTCCATGCTGGCGGGGGGCTGCCGGGGCGGCACGGGGGGGGGGGGGGGGGAGAGCGGGGCGCGCGCTCGCTGCCGGGACGCCTCGGGGACGCCGGGCTGGACGGAGCGACCTCGTCGCCCGCGGGCGCAGCCGCCGCGAAACTCCGCCTAGCCGAGCCGCCGCCGCCGCGGGAGAGCGCCGATCCCTCCTCTTCCCCCTCCGCGGCGATTACATAGTCTGCCCACAATCTCTGCACCTAGGAGGAGGAGGGGACGGGAGGACGGGGAGAAGGCGCGATCAGACAGCCCCGGAGACTTCCACCGGGACCCACCAGCTCCCTGCCTCCCCGGCCGGGCTCGCGCGGCGTCCGCGAGCAGAGGCTGCAGGGGCCCCTCGGGGATGAGCGCCGCGCGGGGCGCAGCGGGACGGGAGGGGGCGTGCCGAGCGGCCCAGAGTGTGCCGGGAGCGCGGGGGAGGGGAGGCGCCGGACGCGTCAATGTCACGGCTCCGTCTTTCTACCTAGATCGCCGGTCCCCGCTGCCCTCTCCGGCCGCGGGGGCCCTCGGAAGCCGCTGTGGAGGCGCGGGGGGTTCGCTCGCGTGGGGGCCGCTGAATGGGGTCGGGGCTCCCAGGACCCTGTAACCCGACGCTGGGAGCGTACGCGTCGGGGTGGTCAGGCATCTGCTCGGAAATTGCTTCCTTTCTTTCTGCTTTCAGTTTTTCTCTACCGGGGGGACGTTGGAGAGGGTCTTGCGCGCACACGCGCACGCACGGTCTCTCGGGCACGGCGGTCTTAGTGGGAGACGGAGTCCTGCCTCCGACCCGGAGGACCTCCCTGGTGGAAACTCAGGGAGGACGGACCATCTGGGGGAGGGCTGGGGCTACTGGGGGTGGGAGAGCGAGGGGCCCGGGGACGGGGGGAGGGCAGTGTCTCGTCTCGTCCCCCCCTCCCACCGCCCCGAGATCCCCAGGGTGGAGGACAGCAGGTCCGTCACTCTCTCCCGGCGTGTCCGAAAGAGCTGGCCGGGACTGGTCCCGGAGTTCCAGCAGACTTCAACCCGGGCAGAAGCAGCCGCCCTTGCCACGGCGGGGGTGGGGGAGCAAACGCAGGTCTCCCCCGGGGTGAGGGGGCCACCCTTGGGTGGCCGCTACCGAACATCCGCCCGGGGTCCGGGGCGCCAGGAGGTCGGCCACCGAGACGGTCGTTGGGTTGTCCCAGGGCCGGAGGCCAGGTCCCACGCGCGGCCGGGGGCCCCTTCCCCGCGCAGTTGTTCGGGGTGACCGAGTGAGCCTCCCCGTCCCCCGGTGGCCTCGGGCCGGGCTGGACCTTGGGTCCCGGACAGCCGCGTGTCCCGAACCGCCGGCGTGCGTCTACCTGCCCCGCACTCCTCCTCCCCCTCTGGCCCTTCAGCCCGGAATTAGGGAACACATGGCGCGACCCCCACCGGGGCGGGCGGCCAAGGCCCCTCGGAGAGCCTCCCTGAAAATGCCGCGGGAAGGACCCCCGGGCGGGGTCCGGGGGGTCCCGCCAGGTCGAGGGCCACACAGGTAGCGGGAGCCGCGGCCCCGGCGGCCGCCCTCCCCCTCCGGCCGCGTCCAGCCCGGGCTCCCTCCCGGAGGCGGTGGCCGTCCCACCCCCGCGGGCCCGCACCCCCCCACCCCCACCCACCCCGGACCCGGGCGGCAGCGGCCGGCCCCCTCCCCTCCTCCACTTTTTTTTTTTTTGTTGTTGTTGTTGCTTTCCCACGCTGGCTGAATGTGACTTGACCCCGTTTCAAAAAAAGTTTGACATAGTGCTTCAACATTTCCGCATTCCTCCGCGACTACAAAGGCTGCGGCCGCCTCCTTCTGCTTTCTGTCTCTGCTCCCTGTCTCCGCACTCAATGAAATCCTTCATGAGCCTCTCCCGGAGCCCTGCCAAACGCCGCCGGGGTCGCCACCGGCGCGGCGAGGGCAGGCCGCCCGCGGGACCGCGAGTCGCGCGTGTGCGCCAACGCAGAGGCGCGCGCGCGGACGCCCACGTGCACGGGGACGAGGGTGCGCCGCCGAGCCCCGGGGCTGGGCCTCTGAGCCGCAGAGCTTTAAATAAATAAATAAACAAAGTGACCTCGGGGCGAGAGTGCGTGCCCGGCGGGGCTTCGACCCCGGTGGGCTGCGTGCGCTCCACCGTGCGTAACGCGCCCGCGGAAACCCGCGCGAACGGGTCGTTCCTGCGTGGGAGAGATGGAGCCCCGTGCCCGCACCCCGGGGGGGGGGGCTGCGCAGGGACCATGCACGGGGTGGGGGGGAGCAAGCGTGGGGCGCGGGATGCCACCCCAGACGGTGCATTTCCCACCCTCAAGGTGACGGTCCCAAGTTTGGAGAAGCTCGAGGGGCGGTGGACGCCTGGGGGTCTGCGCGCACGAGATGTGTCCAAGCTGCTGCAAGCCCCTAGCGTCGGGGTGGGGGTGCCCGCGGGAGGGCCCTCTCGCTGCCCCCCAGCTCACCCCCCTAACCTACCCGCCCTCGGCTCCCAAAGGGTTAACCCGAGCGGGTTCCGGGGGGGACACACGCCCAGCACCCTCCTGCCCCTCGGCCCACCCACGCGAGCCCGCGGCCCCTCACCTGCGGTCCCGGGGGCGCCGGCCTCCTGCAAAGCCGCGGTGCCCTGCGGGCCCCCCGCACGTGTCGGCCCCGAGCAGCAGGTAACTGACTGCGGCCCCGGCGAGCGCCCGGCGGCCGGGGGGGTGGGCACGGCGGCGGCGGGGGGCGGAGGGACGGCGGAGGGCGCCGCCCGCGGGGAGGCCGGCGAGGCTCGGGGGGCCCCCGGGTGGAGGAGGCTGCGCGGCGCCGCGGGGACCGGCGGGGACCGACGAGCCCCGGGAGCCCGGGACCCACCCGGCGACGGCTGTGCAAATTAAAGCCTTCCGGAGCGAGCGAGCGAGCGAGCGAGGCCCGGCCCCGGCTGTGCTCCCCAGCAACCGGCTCGGAACGGGGGGCCCCGAGGGCGGGGGAGAGTTAAATGAAAATTTCCGGTTCTCACTGCAGCCACTCGAGTTGGGGATCTCGCGACTGAAACGAGGCGCGCGGAAGGGCCCGGGTGGGATGCGTCCTCGCGAGCCGGCGAGGGTGGTTGGGTTTTTGTTGTTGTTTTTAACGCCCAAGGTCTCCCCGAGTTGGGGTTTTGACAAGGGTGAGGCGGGAGTATCAGTCGGGAGTGAGAAAAACACAAACAACAGTAATTACGGGGGGACCACGGGCTGGTGGATGGCACTCCCTGCTCGCAAAATCGGACCCTACGGAAAGCCGGGGCGTGGGGGGAGGGCGGAGAGGACTGCCAGGATGCCTTGCAGGAAAGAAAACACTAATCTGTCCAAGCACTTTTCACTTTCGGCTTGAGCTACGTTTGTTTTGTTTTCTCCCACTTCCTTTCGGCCTCACAAAGCCCTATCTTTTTTCTTTTTGGACACAGGCTATGGTTTGGAAATTGCCAGGCACTCTTGTGGTCACCGATCTACTTGAAGGAGCTGGCGGGGGTCACAGTTATTAAGTGGTTAGAGGGTGCACTGTTGAGGGTGCACTGAGGTGTTTCTGGGGAGCCAAAAAAAAAAAGATTCAATTTCAGAATAAAGAACAACTGCAGAATGATAGACACGCGCACACTTAAAGAGGAGCGATTAATTTAAATGCTTCGTTGGGATGTTGAAATTTGAAACTTTGTAAGAATGTCTCCTTTACCTGAGGAAAACGGATGCCAGTACTTCAGGTGAAGTTGAGATGGGGGGAGGGCGGGGAGGAAGGGTCTATCAAGGCTTTGTACAAGGAGTAAAATAAAATAGCTGTCTTTGGAGATAACTCGATGTTTTCCAAAATCTCTTAGAACTTGAAACTTCTAAACATCTTCAGGCAGGAGAGGGAGTTTCCGTACTTCGTAGAAAAAGCAAAGCTAACAAATTCTGTTTAAATTGGAAATATTACTTGTATGGATGTTTTGTTTTTATTAAACGATTACCAATTTCACAATAGACTTTTTTTTTTCCTTTGTGCAATTAATCCTGTTACACTGTGAAGCAAGGTTAAAGGAATAAAAGTTGCCGTAGAAAGCTGCAGTTTGCTGATGCACTATAGTAATTTTTCTGAAATAATAAAAATGAGTAATGATGTGCCTTTAAACTTAACTTACAGAACACATTTTGTGTCTGAGTACATCTTCTAAAATAAAACCCAGTTTCTGAGCAGATCTTGTTTATAGTATCAAACATCTCATAAACAGAAAGAAAATTATTAGATCTTACATTGATAAAAGTATCACTACCAATCTCTGGGCTCTGAGCTGAAGATGCAGATGGAAGCTCTCCATATTGATGACTGCTCACACTTAACAGTGCCTTTTAAAACAAGATTTATTTGCAGGTAATTAATATGCTTATCTAAAAAGATAGTCAGTGGCTGAAGGAACAAGTACATGATGTCATAAATTTAAGTAAATAATTTATTCAAAAAAACAGTAAGTGGTAAATATCTATTAACAGAAGAGCTTTCCCCCACCTATACTGTGTAGTATTTTTAATTGTATTTGAAAACAATTGTTACCAACTAGATTAGAAATATTATTATTAGGATTACAGGATCACTCGGGAAATATAAAACACAAACCCCAAAACCAATGAAACTCTTAAGTATACCAGATTTTAACTCCCTTGGTGTCCTTTTTTTTTTTTTTTTTTTTGCTGCAACTTATGTTTTATGTTAGTTTAGCATTATTCACTTTTCCTGGTTATGGTTCACATTAACCGTGTTATATGCCAGCTGATTAAATATTCAGACCCAAAGAATAGTTACATGGCTTGCATTAAAACAATAAAACATAAGGGATTTTGTTGTTGTTGTTGTTCTTTATGGATAACTTCCTCCGTGGGTAGCAGGCTATCATAACTCAATTTGTGCAAAGTTTACAAACTGTGAACGAGAGTCCGACTCCTTTGTTGAGGAGTGTCCTACCAATGAAAACACAGCCTTCAAGAGTGATGACTGGACTCAGGGTTTTGTGTACTGCCTGTTGTATTCCACAGTTAAATCAAAACCATCTTTACAGGTTTTTAAAGATCAGAATTGATGGATTTACCCCTACATGAGAGTTCAGTGTCCCATCAGTCATCTTTATCATGTGGGGACCACTTTAGGCCACACCGTGTAGCTGAATTTTGTTTTCCCTTAATAAAAATGAAGAATTATAATAAAGTTCTAATTACAACTTTAACCTTGTTAAAGAAATTAGTATATTTAAAATAGCAGTAACAGTAATTCTAAGTAATCTCTGCTTTATAACGTGCTTCAGAGATGCAAACTACCTTTTCACAAACTTGGAAATATGCTCTTGTGATTCATTTTACAGTTACTTTAACTGAAGCTCCATACA